CAGGAACCTTTGGCACTTTGAAGATGAAACGGTTCAGTGAATACAGTCCCAGAAAGATGAACAAAAGTGGTGGGCTTAGAATTTGACAGCCTAGATCCAAGTCCTGGATTCCTCCTTAGCACTCATGGTCCATGGGAAAGAACCTGTCCCTGGGAACCTGGGAGTCATGATGGCTAAGATCGGATGAGGTGATGCACAGGAGAGTGCTGCACGAACATGTGTTTGCTGTCCTGCAGTAACCACCAGATGGAGATGCACCATGTAACCTTATAAACACATTCTTGCTCCTGAGGGGCTCCTGTCACTGGCACTGGCTGATGGGTTCCCAGGGCATTTGGGAAGTGCAGAGCCCTTTGTTTCATAGCTGCTGTGTGACAGAGTACACATCTGTCCACTTAGCAGGGGAGAAATGACCAGAAGAGGTGGTCGTGAGGGGCTGAGTCACCCCCTGCCTGGCCTGAGGGGCAGGATGCCTCACCTGGCAGAGGAGCCTCTGGATAGCCAGCCAAACAGTAGTTTTCCTCAAGGAAGTGTTTCGTCCACTAGTGACAACCATTTTGACAGTTAGCTCATAGTTGTCTGTCCAGTTGGTTTAGCTTCATTTGGACACACGCTGTAAAAGCACGTGAAGCAGGGTTCATAACAGCCCAGGGAATTAGGGGCTTTTATTCCCTAAAATTCAAGGAATATTTGTATTTATATCCTTCATGTGCTGCGCCTGGATTTGTATAGGAATTGTCAAGGCTCCATCTCAACTGGGTTAGGGCTCCTGTTAAAATTTCACAGGAACCGAATGTTCAGTTGCTGTTGACATGAAACTTCACAGGGAAAGAACATATGTGTTTCTTGAGAGCCTCCCGTGAATGCCAGTCACTTTGTGGATGGTCTCGCTTTGTCTTTACAGTCACTGTGTAGCAGAGTGACCCAGTGTAACAATCATGCAAGAATCGTTACCAGCTAGTGTCATAAATAAGATTTGAACCCAGGGTTAGTTATCTGATTCTGTACTAATTCAGATTAGATCAGCTTCATTTGCCAGAGTATCTGAAGATGAAGCACATTATCCAACACTGAGTGGTGGCGCCACACAGTTGTTAAGAACTCAGGCACTTTTCAGCTCCCTGGAGTGTGGACTCACCCTTCAGACGTGAGGTACTGGACAGCAAGGGTGGAGGTCAAGAAAAAGGATAGGACTTCTCTCAAAAACTTTCCCCACCCCCATACAATACTTCTGCCTCCATAGCTCCAGCTCCCTGAGAGGCCGGGTACTGGGGTATTGTAGTGAACAGTAATACACTGCAACCGGCTAGAAATCAGGGTCTTACTTTTGAGAATGCATAAAAGTGTCAAAGGAAGACTAACATAGACACAAACATATTTTCCTTCTCTTTGGTTCATGAAATATCTTTTAATCATAGCTCATAGTTCATATGTCCAAAGCTCATTTCAGAAATAAGAATATATTTGAAGGAATATTCCAAGATGAATGTAAATGTAAGGTTATGTTTAAAGAAATTTACAAGTTTGGTTGGTTTTGGGTAAATTTAGCTTTCCAGTATTTTTTTTCAGGTTTTTTTTTCCCCCCTCTTCTAACATGGTCTTGAACCCTTGGGCTCAAATGATCCTCCTGACTCAGCCTCCTGAATAGCTAGGACTACAGATGCATCAATTCTTATAAAAATTAGCCAGAAGGACCTCTGATAATTTTTTCATGCTTGCCTTGACACAGTCACACAGGTCCCTTCATAGCACTTGCAGCAACGCTTATCAACTCCCCAGCGTTTGTGGGGATACCACCAGTACATTCAGAGTGAGGGGTGAGAGATCCTAAGAGAAAGGAGGGCACATCTGCTGTGATTACAGCATTTGGTGACCTGGTGGGCTCACATTCACAGGGGCCGAGGGCCCAGCAAGTCTGTCTTGTGATGGAACTCAGCTTGTCTGCTTGCTCCTCAAGACCTGAGGGACTGCTGCCATCAGCTTCTGAGCTATAGGGTCACTGCTCCTTGCAAGATCCTACTGTGCCCTGCCGAGTAACTGTCAGTGATGCTAAGGCCTGCATCTTACTCTATCACATTTTTTAAAGTTTTACTTTCTATCAGAAAAACTAGTAGACAGACAGTATAGCAAAGAAGGGGAAAAAAAACTTTACAATTTTTATGCTACAGTTACTTAATGTGTGTGTGTGTGTGTGTGTGTGTTACTGGGGTTTCAACCCAGGGCCTTTACACTGAGCTACTTCCCCATTCCCTTTTTTATTTTTTATTTTGAGAAGGGTCTCACAAAGTTTCTGAATTGCCCTGGCTAGGCTCAAACTTGAAGTCTTCCTGCCTCAGCATCCCAGGCTGCAAGGATTACAGGAATGCACCACCACACCTGGCTTTAACTCTCTCATTTTCTTAATACAAAAATAACTTCCTCTTCTTTAAAAAAAAAAACTCATTAAACAAAAAGCATCAAAAAATTTAAGACCATCCAGGGCACACTGGTGAAATATTAGAATGCCCTTTACAATTTTTTTCTGTCACATTTCCACTTTTTATAATCAGAAAAAAATATTTTAAGTGAAGTTTTTATCCATGAGAAAACTTGAAAATGACTGCCACATATAACACTATACAGTGTTAAAAGGATTATGTGGTCTAGGCTGTGGTACAAAGCTATCTGTGAGACCATAAATAAGCAAGTTATTCTCCGGGGCTCACATCCTCACCTGCAATTAGAGAAGTGGGGGATGCCAAGCATGAGGGCCGTTTCCCACTCAGACATCAGGGATTGTGACACATGTGACAGTCTGCAGACTTACATGGTGTCGGAGAGCTGATGTCCAGCCCGGATGTTTCTTCATTTGGACATTTATGAGTAGATTTCATCATGATTGGGAGGAAAACATGCTTCAAGCCCCAGGTTCATACAGTTGTCTGAGAGGGGTCATCATGATTACGAGAGGCTTAAGGCTGAGAACAGCTGGTCTGTTCCTCTTCTGTGGGGGCAGAATCTTATGGAGCAAAGGGGAGGGATGGCCTGTGCCACATCCTGTGGCTGTTCCTGGTGACTGGGGGGGCTGGGGGCCGGGTGCCAAGCACTCTCTGCTTTGGCACTGTCCCATGTAGACCCCTCAGCTCTGGCTGTGATGGAAACAACTACTCTGTGTCTCCCCATGTGGCTCAGTTCATGACACCAGTGGGGGAGCCTCCAGCATTTGCTGTCAGCATTTTCCCCAGTCCTCATCCCTCTCCAGCAGTAAGAGGGGAGCTGTTAGGCAGGAAGCAATGTCTAGCTCACACAGTTGCCTCTGCCCCAACTCCTGAAGTTCTTAGCATTTTAACCTTCAGTGTGTCAAGTCCTTTTCACCACAGGTGACTCGGTGTGTCTTCTCCCAAGACTGGATTTAATCACAGAATGTGTTGCAGTGTGTGATAGGAAATTCTCGGGTGACAGTTCAAAGGCTGAGAGGACAACACAGCTGTGGAAGGGAATGAATTTCTGTCCCTCTCCATCATACTTGAAACAAAATAGTCTCAAAAAGATTGTACAATGGGAATGTTGTGGTATTTGTGCTGAGAAATCATCACATAAAACCTCATATCTGAAAATCAAAGTGACCTTTTCTAAGCAGCCTCAGCCCTACAGGAGAAGGCAAATATTGCCAGATTGCCTGACATTTCCTTTTTTAAATTTCAGGCATTCCTGATTTCAAATCAGCTATTGATCTGTTTATTTGCAGCCCTGGTGCAATTAAGCAAAGTCACATTCACTACTGTTAGTCTCTCATAAACAGCTGCTATGAAGCCCCCTTCCTCTACCTCCTTCCCCTTCTTACTGCCCCTGTGCCACCACCCCCATCAAGCACCTGGCAAAACAGACAGGCAGGTTGCAAAAAAGGGCATTTTTCTACACCCAAAATGAAAATCTTCAAAGCTCAGTTGTGTACTATTGTACAATGTACATCTCTAAAGATCACATTTATTTGCTTTCTCCCTACTCTAAATCCTTCTTGGCCGAAGCAACAAATAAACCTATAAAGAGGGAGCATTTGTTCTTAGTCTATGGCTTATCCAAATGTAATGTGGACTGTAGTAGGGAATGATGTCAGCCTAACTGGACTCTTAAGGGCAGCTCTGCTTTGGTGACAGAGAGGTCTCAGGTTGCAAGGTGCTGCTCTGGGGTCAGTGATGTCAGCAGGTCTTGTGAGTAGTACCATAGCTGCCCTCCACAGCCACAAAAGGCACCAGTGTAGGGCAGGAGTGCTTGCCACTGAAGCTAAGTCTGCAGAATGCAAAATTGATGGGGTTGAGAGGAGTGCATACTGCCCCCTGTTAATCTGTCAAAGAACATTCTTTCTAACTCCAGTTATCCTGAGAGAGGTGGCTAGGGAAGGATATCTGGATGGATTCTGAGTTGTCTCTTTGCTGCATCCTCTATCAGGATTCTGGCTCTGTTCCTTAGTGAGGCTCTGTTGCCACACAAGAAACATCTCCATCTAATCTGGGCTGCATAGGGGGCAATGAGGAAGAAAGGACTGGCAAGAAGTCCCGGCGCCTGCCTTGCAAGCCCAAGGACCTGAGTTCAATCCCCGGTACCGAAAAAAAAAAAAAAAAAAAAGAGTAAAGCTGATTGTGTTCTGCTCTATCCTTATATCTGAAGTAGACAGGCAGGTCCTCACCAGCTCTTGTCTTCTTTTGTGAGCAACTCAGAAAAAGCCACTGGTATAAGGAGTTTGCCCCCTCTGGCCTGATTTTGCCATCCAAAAGTAGTTCCTCTGCCCCGGCATAATGGTTTTCCCTCTTATATGTAGGATGACCATATAACCCAACCTGCCTTTGGGTCCTGATTTATAGCCACTGTCCCCTGAGATTAATGCACTTTTATGCTCAGAAGTGTCCCATATTGGACGACACATTTTTCACGTGGTTACACTGATTACAGAGAATGAGGGGAAGAAAATGAGTTCCTGCTGAACTGTCTAACCTCATGCTCCTTCTTTTTTGTTATCACAGCTCCATCTGGCAGCCCTGGCATCACTCAAGGGAGATATAGTAGAGCTCAATAAACGTCTGCAGCAAACGGAGCGGGAACGGGACCTTTTAGAGAAGAAATTGGCCAAGGCACAGGTAAGGAACCTGGAAAGTTTTGTCTTTGTTTCAACTTTTATTCCCATAATACAAGTTCTGGCTTAATGAACATATGGTCTTAGTTTTGGAGGGATGCTATAACACCATAGACAGCATGACTTCAAGAACAACAGCAACAAGCATGTATTTCTGGAAGATGTAGAGGCTGGAAGTCAAGGTGGCTGCCAGCTTTGCTCCTGGAGAGGGCTCTGTTCTTGGCTTCCGACACCAACTCCTCACTGGGTCCTCACATGGAGGAGAGAGCACCATCATTCCTCCCCAGTTTCCCTTTTTTTTAATTTTTAAATTTTTATTAAATGACTGCAGTACATAATGATTACATTCATCGTGGGGAGTTGGTACATGTATATAACACTTCTTAATTCTTTTTTCTTTTCCTTCCCCTCCCCTTTCTTTCTTCTTTCCTCCATCTTTAGGCCCCCTTCCCATTTGCAGAAGTTCTATCTTCCTATTTCCTATTATCTGTCTTTTATCTTGCTCTTTTAAAAAGGAACTAATCCCATCCAGGAGGGCTCCACCTTCATGACCTAATTATCTCTCAAAAGCCCTATCTCTTACCCTAATACCATCACCATTGCAGTGGGGTAAACTACCATATGAATTTGGGGGAGTACAAACATTCATGAAACACATTTGTACCCACTGCCCAAGTTAAGAAACAGGACTTGTCTCTCCTCCTAGAAGACCCTGCTTGTGTCCTATACCAATCTCCACACTTTCCCTCCCGCAGAGGTAACCACTAGGATTTTTACAGTAGTATTTCTTGCATCTTTACATTTTATCACTCAAATTTGCATCCCTGGAGAGTAGAACTTGGTCTTACCCATTTAAAAACTAGATGTTTCCTTTAAATCTTTTAATCTGCAGCTTTTTTTCCTCCACTTTTTGTTAGCTTTTTAATGTATCTGTTAAACCTGGCCATTGTTCTGGTACAATTTCCCACATTCCGGATGTTGCTGATTGCACACTTGCAGTGGGATTCAGCATGTTCTTATGTATCTCCTGCAAACTGACTGTTGAATCCTGAGGCACAGACAGATTCTTATCTGCTCCCTTTGGCAAACTATAAAGAGTATTTTTTCAGCAGCAGGCCCATAGTATCTGGTTGTTTATCTTTCTGTGATGTTAGCAACTGTTAATGCTTATTACCTAGATTCATTGCTTCATCGTGACTTACAAAGTCACCTTTAGTTCTACTGTTTCTGTTATTAATAAGAATCCTTTTATAAAGACAGTTTCTGTGACCTACTATTTGTTGAAATAGTAGTAACAGTTCATAGAGAAAAAACTAGCCAGGACCCTTGAATCTTTCGTTTTACTTAATCTTTTTCAAGATAATGAAGTGATTCACTATGCTCCTCCGAAAGTACCTACTAATTTTTGCTATTATGAATTGATATAGTTAAATATATTTGGATTTCAACCCTTTGTAATTGTTTTCCATACAGAAGCTCAAATTACATTGTTTTTAGTAGTGAGAGGCTCTTTGAGTTGGCTCCTGAGTCTTATGGCCTGAACTGAGTGAGTAGTTATACCAGGCTCCTAGTGTATATTTCTTGCCCCAAACATAGAGTTAACCATTCTCCAAGTAGCTATAGTTTTCTTCGGCAGGAAATGAGACTTTCAAGACCACTGACTGGGTACTGGGTACTTATTCTTGGTGGTTCATTGTATGTAGGTTTCTGTTGTAGACAGAGCAAAGAAGTTATTTACTAACTTATATATAATGGTATATAATAAGCACTATAAAATTTAAGATGTATATATATATATATATATAGCCTTAGGAATTCATACTAATTAATACCACTAATGAAAATGAGACTACTGCATATTTTTGCTCAATTTCTGATCTTCATTTTTTTCATACTTAAAAATCCTACTTATTGAGGTTACAGATGATGATAGAATTAGAATATTCCATTCCATAAGCATTCTTTTGTTTTATCCCATGTTATATTCAGTCTCAGAAGAATAACATTAATGTCACTATAACCAATGTAGTTGCTGAGAACTTAATTTTTTTCTTTTATGTTTTCATTCTCTCAAGTTTTTGCAGTTGAACTATATTGATCCCACCGGACCAAATGACCATTGATTCTTATTTGTGTTCTACAAGTATTGATATGTTTAATGATCACCAGCATTCTTGTGTCAGTACCTATTTTAAATTCAATATGTATTTATTTTGCCTGAAGCTTATTTTTTAGATTGTTCCAAGTGCACTTGTAGGAATAATGTCTCTAACATTCTTGCTTGTTAATAACAATGTATCTCTTGCCGTTATACTTGAGCACTTTGCTGGATGTAAAGTTCTTGACTCATGTGTTCTTTCCTGGAATTTGTTTTTTTATTGTCTTTTGGCATAGAGTGTTGCTGTCAGAGTCTGATGATAATCTCTTTTACCCTTTCAAGATAGTGCTTACTCTAGATAGTCAGAGGATTCTTTCCCTCCTCCCTTCCTCCTTCCTTCCCAGCCTCCCTTTCTCCCTGCTTCCCTCGTTCCCTTTTCCCCTCTCCCTCCCTCCCTCCCTTCCTTCCTTCTTCTCATAATTTTACTGTAGTAAGTCTTAATTATTCTCATTATGATCTGATATTTTCAGGTTTGCTGTATATTCTCTGATTATATATTACAGTTATCTTTTATTTCAGAGAATTTTTTAAAAATTACATTGCTTAATATTGGTTTTATTCCTTTGGTTTTCTTTTTTATTCAATTTTTATATTTTATTAGCATGTTTTGCAGTACACAGTATTAACATTCCTTGTGAGAAGTTGGTACAGGTATGTCACACATCTCAATTCCTTTTTCATTCCCTTCCCTTTCCCTACCTCCTCTCTCCATCTTTTGGTCCACGTCCCATTTACAAAAGATGGGTCTCCGTGGACTCCTGTTATTTGTATGTTAGATCATCTTTATCTTTAAAGTGCACTCTCTCAAATCCTTTATATTTCCTCCTTCTTAAAATGTAATGTTTTTTGTGTTTCTCTTGAGGTTATTATATGATATTTTGTATTCTTCTTTTGTGCCTTCTAGTTTAATATTCATTTCTGACATGCATTTTTATCTTCTAATTCTTTTCTGAGTGCTTTTACTTTCTGAAATTTTCTAATTCTGAATTTTGTTCGATTATGTCTCATGCATTTCCTTAAAGTCTTTAAGATAGCTATTTTTGTATTTTAATTTTTATTCTGTTTGAGGTTTTGTGGCATGCTTTCATGGTTCATAAAGATGTTATTCTGTTCTCTTATTACACTGAATGGAATTTGACTTCAATACTTTTTTAATAGGAAAAATTGAACTGTTTAATTGAATTTTTTGGAGATAGGATATAAGAAGGCTCTTTTTTTCCTGGTCAGAGAGCTTTCTTAGCCTTATGTTGTTTTCTTGAAGTAAAAAGTATGGCAGCCTGCTTTTAGATGCTTCCTGGCTCTGTTTCTTTTCCTAATTTTTATCTAGATATTTTCTTCTTTTGTCTCTGTTATCCCCAGCCTGCTCAGTTTTGGTTCTCCTCCCACCAGTGTCTCCTCCTGGAAGGGAGCCCCAATGCCATTATTGAAAGCTCGGGACTGGACTTCAGCTTTTTTCTGTAGGTCCCTTGCAAGCTCGTACACAGTCTTATAAGACTTGTATCCCCCCATGACCCCAGCTACTATTTTTTGATTGGCTTCCTTACTTTTCTGTGAGCATCTTCTGGTTATTTGGGATTCTCCAGTTCTTGGATCTATCAACCTTGTTTCTCTCTGATTCTGCCTGTCCAGCTTAAGTAATGCCACACAAATCTATGGATGGTTTTGGTTTATCCTTACCTGCCTGTCCTTTGTTATTCAAGGGAACACCTTGACTCCACGCCTTTCCTTTTTCTGTGTAGATGTTATATGAGAATTCATAGAACGTTTTTTAAAAGACTGCGATAGGAACTGGGGATATAGCTCAGTGTTCCCACACCTGCCTTGCAAAGTGCAAGGTCCCGAGTTTGATCCCTAGTACCAAAAAAACCAAAAACCAAAAAACACTGCTACAGCTATCCTAGAATGGACTGCAAAAGTTTTTTGAAAACTCTCATCTCATAATCACAGATTGAGTGAGGTGGAATAATGAGGAAGAGCCTTTGTACTTAGGATCGTCTGCTCCTACATTAGATGGGCAACCCAGGGAGATTAGGACCTTGCCCAAAGTCGTGTGAATAGCTTCTCAAGCCCACCAGTGCCTGTTCTCACTATAAGATGTTACACTTGCTGAAAATGTTACGTTTTTACTTAGACGGAAATTTTATTTAAAATATTTTCCTTCTGATTATAAAAGCAATAAGATAAGTGATTGAATAAATTTGTAAAACAGTGTTGTAATGTTTGTATGGTTGTGCCTGATAAATTGAATCTTTTTAAATGCTTTTCTTTAATACATTTGTTTTAAAATATTGGAGGGTTTTTGTTTTTGTTTTTTCCCTGCCAGTACTGGGCGTTGAACCCCAAGCATTTGCACTAAGCTACATCCTTACCCGTTGTTATTTTTTATTTTGAGTCAGCTTCACATTAAGCTGCTAAGTGGCCCAGGCTAGCCTTGAAATTGTGATCACTGTGCCTCAGACTCCTACAGTGCTGAGATTACAGATGTGTGCCATCATACCCAGCTAAAAGTGGTTATTTTTAACTCTTTAACTCTTCCCCAAAGAGTTAAAGGTAACATGTATAGTGATACATGCATAGCCATGTTTATAGCACCACAGTTCATAATAGCTAAATCTTGGAAGCAGGCAATATGTCCATCAAAAGATGAATGGATAATGAAAACGTGGTATTTCCATACAATGGAGTACTACTCTGCCCTAAAGAAAGATAAATGTGAGTCATTTGTAGGAAAATGGATGCACCTTGAGATCATAATTTTAAGTGAAATAAATCACACAAGTTTAAGTAACATAGTTTCTCTTGTATGAGAAACCCAAAGTCTAAAGAAAGAGCAAAATAAAAGATAA